CCCACCCAAGCCTGAGATAAGGATTGGAAAAAAATATCCAAAATCCTCTCTGAAATAATTCAATATCTTTGAGTGATCATTTTGAGAAAACCATTATTGTGTTTACGTGTGGCACATGTCTAAATCATAAAGGGGATTCGATTGCCTTGGTTCCTTTGTATAAAGAGTAGAAAAAAGAAAAGAAAAATAAATTAATTCTGCCATCACTTAGTATAATTGCTGACACACAAGACTTCTGTGCTGGCCAAGGCAGCTATGCCCTTGTGTGGTGCGTTTGTGGGTGTGTGTTTTTAAAGGCATCAGTGCTCAAGAGATCTCCCCTAACAGAATGCACAAGAGGCAGGTGGTGCCGAGAGATGCAGTCTGGAATCCAGGGACCAGGCCTGGGCAGGCTCCTGGGATCTGTTCTCAGACACATCTCTGGCTCACTTAATCTCTGTGAGCCTGCTCTGGCATGAGGAGATTCCCCAGATAGTACCTACAATAACAGTGGCTATGTTTGCCAGGAGCCTGATTCCCCATGTTGCTGCCTAGGACACAGCAGGTGGTTTTCTGGGATGAGGGATGAACAGCACTGGTCCTTATGGCTTTGGTTGCTTGCTAATCGGGTGGTCAAACTGTACGGTTCCCAGACTTGTAGGACTTATCAACATTAAGAGATTTTTACAGCGCTTAACAATGTTTAGCATCTGGGGTTCTTCATCTGTCTCACTGCTAGTTGCTGATATTAAAAAGACGACCTTTTAAGAGATGACAAGGCCACCAGGGTTGCCTAATCAAAAATGGGACTAGTGTCCTCGTCGATGGACTAAATGGAAGGGGTTTGTCCCTGCTACCTTCCCACCTTCTGTCACTCAGCATGGCCCCACTAGTTGTCATACACTGGCACTTGAATCTCATCCTGCCCAGCCTCCAGAATTGTAAGAAATAAATGCTTGTTCTTTGTAAATTATCTAGTCTCTGGTGTTCTGATACAGTGGCAAAAAGATACTGTCTCTCAGAGAGAGGTGTATGCTGGAGCTACTCCAGGCACAAGTGTGACGTGAATGAGGCAGACGGGGAGATAGAGAATGAGGGAAGAAAAGGATGTGCCCATGTGCTAAGGAAACAGTGACCTTGGATGTCTCCAGCAGTGAAGCTGTTGCCAGGCCACCCGATGAGCTGAAGAAGCTCTGCGAGCCATTCAAGTCCAACATGGTGACAACTGAGACACAGCTGCATCGATCAAAAGCTGGGAGAATGACCCATCTCAGCTCAGACCTCAAGTGGCCCCTTCTTTTCTCATCCACCCTTACGGCATGGCTTTGAGATGCAGTATGATTGGCAGACTTCTCCATCACAGTTTGGGTCTAAGACCTGACCTGGAGCTGCCCTCTTGGATTCCTCTGCACAACAAAGAGCTTCCCAGGGGTTAGTACAGGTCTCGGGAAACATGGCCCTCTGTATAGACACTGGTTTCAGCAGGATACTGGAGTTTGTGGGTATGGTGGCTATATGTCAAGCAAGGATCCTCATCCAAGACTGTAGAGCCTGGGGCTCAGTCCTCCTTTTCCATATTATTAGGAACACATACCTCATCATGTGTGAATTTCTTGAGGTTGGAGATAATAGATTTTTTGTGATATGAAACTGCAGTGGTATATGTGTGTATCTATGAGTACATTCTACATACATACATACATATCTGTGAGTATATACTATATGCATATCTATGAGTGCATACAGATGTAGACTTTTTGAAGACTGATAGTTGTAGACATCATGACATGTCACCCTTAGATATACATACCTCAAGAACAATGGCCTTCTACACTACACACTCAGTCGTTGCCACAACTCAGCATTGCTTCAGTATTAGGATAACACAATGTGTTCTGTGACTTCAAGCCTGCTCATTTACTTCTCTCTCTGTCAACATTTGGTACAAAATGATGCAGCTAGACATCCCTAAATGAAGGTCACTCCAATAATAAAGAACAGAAGGATGGGTCTTCAGCCTGGAAAAGATGAGTGACTGCCTTGGGCTAGGGAGGTGGCTCAGTAAAACACTTGCCTTTCAAGCATGAGGATCAGAGTTCAAGTTCAACCCCCAGAATACAAACGGAAAAAGCTGGGTGTGATGGTGGCACACACTTATAATGTCAGCCCTGGGAAGGTAGAGACTGATGGAGCTCTGGGGTTACTGGCTGGCTAGTGAGAGATGCTGTCTCAAAAGATGTGGTTAGACAAGGGCTAGAGCAGTGGTTCTCAACCTGAGGGTCATGACTCATTTGGAGTTACATATTAGATATTCTGCCTACCAGATATTTATATTATGACTCACCACAGTAACAAATTTAGAGTAACGAAGTAGCAATGTTATAATCTTATGGTTGGGGATCAGCACAACATGAGGAACTAACTGTATTAAAGGGTCTTGGTGTTATGACAGTTGAGAATCCCTGGGCTAGAAAGAGACTCAGGGGTTAAGAGCATAGCTCCTGGATTTGACTCCCAGGATCCACAGGGTGGTTTTCAACCATTTGTAATTCCAGTTTGAGGGGATCCAATACCCTCTTCTGACATCCACAGGCACCGTGTACACATGTAGTATATATACATACAATAGGCAAAACATTCACAATATGGTAAAATCTACACATCTTAAAAATCAAACAAAATTGGTAGACAGTATCCAAAGGAATGACACCAAAGGTTGGCTTCTTCCCCTCCCCACACACTTGCACTTACACGCACACACACACACACACACACACACACACACACACACACACGCACATATACAGACTTAAACCACACTCAAGCTATTCTCACTGGTTGAGATGGAAAACTGATACCCTGACAAGAATAGTTTGAGGCTGAGGCGGCTTCATGTGTCATTGAGTGATGAAAACTTTAGTTTCTTGTGGTATGAATACAGGAATGTGCAATTGTGGTAACTCCTTCTGTCATGCATCTTAGAGCTTAGAAGTGCCCACAGTCCCACAGCACAGCCAGGGATGGAGAGTGCTAACCACTTATCACAGAGCCACACAGGAGAAGGGCCAGTGTATTGTAAGAGCCAATGGACCAGGAATTCTGTGGGAGCTTGTGTCTCCTAGAAATAACAGGGAGGAGTCACCTATGGTATTTCAACAATACGGTCACCTAAACAAGACCTGATCAAGGACAATACCATATAGATATGCTAACATGGAAGAAGAAATCTCATATGACCCCATCCATAGCCAATGAACCATAAGCAACTAAGGGATGCAAAGAGCAGAAATAGTCTTCCACCATGGATGAGCCCTCTAATTTGTTATCCAATACCAAGTGGTACATATAAATAACATGTAATGAACTCAGTGGGAGGAAAATGAATGGAGGGAAGTGATGTAATTATTGTTTTGAATAAAAACAAAAGTCATTTTCTCAATCCCTTGTACAGACTTTGATTCATTAAAATATACCCAATGAAGCCAGGCATGGTGCTTGTAATCCTAGCCCTTGGGATGCTGAGGCAGGGAGATTGCTCTGAGTCTGAGTGAGCCATAGCTATACACAGAGACTGTGTCCCGAAGCATTACAGGCAGAGTGTTTCCTGTGTGAGGAGTACCTCCAAGCACTAGGCATTGATCAGGAAGCTCAGTACACTAAGATCTCTGACTTTAAAGACTCCCATTCATTATTGGGGTGAGGGCAGCCCCCACTTCTTACCCTCTTTCTGTGGGACACAGTGACCATCATGCCACCAGTCACACATCCATAGCTTTGGCTCCAATGTGGCACAATGAGAGTTCTGTCCATGGGCACCACCCATTGTCCCTTTGAGTATTGCATTCTTTTCCATTTTTCTAGAGTGTACCTCATGTGAATTGATCAAAGGCCACTACATTTGGGGAAAGTGGCCTGGCAGCCCTGGGCTGAGAACCACAGTTTTCATCTTTACTCAGCAATCTCCCCGTTTCTCTAGTGTGTTTCCTTGGTCCTGGTTCATTTTTGCAGAGCATCTTTGTCTAAATTTGTAAGAATTCCTCTTGCACAACAGTCCTTCAAATACTCCCTAAAATGAAGGGAATGTAACAAACCCTAATGGCTCTATCTTACCATACTTGTGAATAATGTCCTATAGGACAAGATACTCTTCTAATTGGATGGTTAGGGTTTATTATTTGAATAATCACTGTCTATTTTATTTGTTTTTTTGAGACAGGGTTTTTCTGTGTAGCCCTAGCTGTCCTGGAACTCGCTTTATAGACCAGATTGAGCTCAAACTCACAGAGATTCTCCTGCCTCTGCCTCCTGAGTGGTAGGATTAAAGGTGTGTACCATTACCATGCCCAGTGGAGAGTCACTGTCTTTGGTAAATTAAACCTCAATGCAAAATTGCCAGTCTGGGTAGTCTTGCATTAGTTCCACTGTGAGGGAAGGATGTGAACTTCAGACAAAAATCAGGGTATGAAGCGGTTGCCAAAATCTATTCATGTTCTCATTATTTCCTCTTTGTCACCAATGTTCTAAGAGGATGAGGTGGCAGGACCACAAGTTCAAGGCCAGTCTGGGCAACTCAGTAGGACCCTGTCTCAAAAAAGCAAATCAACCAAGTAAATAGAGAGCTGAGTATACAACTTATTGACAGAGCGCTTACCAATAACATGCAAGGCCTGAGGTTCAGTTCTGAATATCACAGAGAAGGAGGGGTAGAGATAGAGAGACAGAAGAGGAAGGGAAGGGGAAGAGGGAGGGAGGGAGGGAAGAAGGGACAGAAGGAGGGAGGGAAGTGAAGAGGGGTTGTCTAACAAGAGAAGGAAAAGAAGGGAGACAAGAATTACCACAGGCATTTGGCTGTAATAGTACTTTTCTAAAACACAACTTTAGCTTACATGATCTTTCCCTTTCATGATTTGGGGAGGCCTTGAAAGGAACAGTATGGGGCTGAAGAGTGACTCTGCAGTCAGGTGCTTGTCCAGCATGCACAAGGCTATGGGTTTGGTTCCTAGCACCAGAAAAAAGCAGACAGGAGCCTGGTCTCAGGGGAGATGTCGGAGTCACCAGAAAGCTGACACAGGGACACGGTGTGCAAAAGGCACAGTAGGCTCACATTCAGAGGGAAGGTAAAAGGAGGTAAGTGAGGCAGGGCAGCTACTGAATCGCACAGATCTGAGTAGATTGGGGGCGGGCCAGACAGGAAGTGGCTTCTGGGGGGTGGGTTGCTCTTCTGTTTCCCAGTGGAGTGTCAAGTTTTGACTTTGGGGAAAATGGACTGTGGTGCTATCTCCTGATCACCAACCCAAAGACTCTGGGTCAGGGGGAAAGGATGACTCACATCCTGAGAAAATCCCTTGCTAACTTCCCTAACTTCAGCAGAGGGCAGAGGGAGGTTTTATGTCAACACTCAAAGTGAATTGGAGGATAGAGGTCCTTAGCAGGGCTGTGACACCAGAAAATTAACCGCAGTGGATACCTGCCAAGTATGCAAAGTGAGAGGCACTTCTAAATAATAGAACAGGCAATGCACTTGGCATCATGAGACTAACACAGGTGAAGGGCCTGGGCACAATGCTGGGCGCTAGGGCCATCTCGGGGTGTGACACTGGGCACTAGGGCCATCACTTTGTGTAGAGGAAAGAGGTTTAATACATAGAATGTTCACAGATCTCACAGCATATACAGGGTTCCACGGAAAAAAATTTTTTTGGTCATTTTCTAATTTGCAGAAAATCATAGTGATGATTAGAAATGTCTGGCTGGGGGAGGAATTGGAAAACTTCGCTGGGGAGTTCCAACCCCCCAGCCTCGGAGAGAGAGGACACAGAAGAGGGCGTCATTCCCCAGAGTTACAGATGATTGTAAGCCACCATGAGAATGCTAGTAATCAAATCTGGGTCCCTTGGAAGAGAAGCCAGTGCTCTTCAATCCTGAAACTCTCTCTCCAGCCCTAAAGCATACTCTCTTACCCCTTCTGATGACACACGATAGACCTAACGGCTGCCAGGACATGATTCATTCCTCAGCTTAGAAATCCTCGGAGTGGGCAGCTCCTGCTCTGTTCCAGGCTCTACAGTCAGGTTCCATGTGTAGATGTGGCGGCGGTGGGGTGGAGCAGGGTGAGGGGCTGCCGCAATTTGTATCTGACATTGTCTGTAGCATGGTTACTTACAGTCTAACTTGGGAGGCAGAGAGCCTTCTTGTAGGATGGACAATGGCATGAGTCAGAGGAGAGTGAAGTTCCGGGGTCGTTCAAAGATAAGGGAAAAGTAAGCTTGGTTGGGGAGGGTGGAGGTGACCCGCCTGGTTGAAGACTCATGAACTGGCAAGGACAGGAAGGGTTTCTGCATGGAAGGCATTCTGCACAACATGCACAAGTCTGTGGGAGAGCCATCGCATGGATTAGCCTGGAAACTAGAGTGTCTGGGTACAGTGCCTGGGGAGGAAACTATAGGCAGAGCTCATGCAGCCATGATACACCATGGTACAGTTTGACTTAACTAATGGCTGAGACGCTGTCTTGTGCCCTTACCCATCTTATTTTTGTCAGTGATGTCTACACTTATAACTCAGACTCTGTCTTTGTCACCCATGTTTCTGGTTACCAAGGTTTGCCTCTCCACCCCCACCCCATATAGGAAGGTGAGTTCAGTCAATACCTAGGAGAGGGGATTTTAAAGGAGAAAGTCAGCTTCAGCTCATGGGTTTGGTCCAGAGTTGGCTAGATCCACTACTTTGGGTCTGAACATCTTGATGGGCCAGAAGAAGCTAGCCATTTCATCATTTCATAGTGGACAGTATGAAGAAATAGTGCTGCCATGTAGGGACCAAGTGGTCTACGTGAGTCTGTGGGGGGATCTTTCACATTCAGATCATAACAAATGGTCTTGGAGTCAGTGTCATCCCTCTGAACTACTTCTTGTCTGTACCATAGAATAATAAGTGATGTTTAGAGTTGCTGTAAGACTCAATGTGCGCGCGCACACACACACACACACACACACACACACACACACACACACACACGAGTGGTGTAGAGATGCCTGTTCTCTGTTCATCTTCAGCACACATGCTCTGCCAGGCAGCATCAGCACCTACCTGCTTTGTTCCCCACCTTCTATTCTCCATGTCTAGTCTCCATTCTACCTATAGGTTCCCACCCCTGCTCTCTGCTGGAACTTTGGTCCCTATCCAGGGAGTTAAAGCAAACCCTGGAAACAATGTACAATTCATTAATGGAGATTTTAGGGTTTTGTTTTCTAGAAGTCAAAATCCTGAATGACGTTCCTCCTGAGTTTGGGGAGAATGTTCTACCATTTCCATAGAGCAGTTCACTGATTTGTACGGATGTGTGTGACCACGATGGCACCTGACCAAAGCGAACAATCAGCTGCTTGAGCTCTAGGAAGCTCAAAATGTCCCTAGATCATGCAGTTCCTTCTCACACATAGTTAATGTAAGTCAGGGTTTATTTACTGAGCGCTCAATCAATAACGCTGTTTAGACTTGGGCTGAATGGACGTGCCCATTCTTCACCTTGAATATCAACTGATTACAGGAAAGACAGCCAAGACTTCTGTTTCTTTTGGATGTATATATTATTAGGAAAACAGTTTTATAAGTAGATGTTTAAGTAGAAAAAATGGAAGCTTCTATGAATGTAACAGAAACTACCCTATTTCTGTTTGCTGAAGGCAAAAACTTTCATTTAGAAAGCTATGATGAAGCCGGGCATTGGTGGCCCACACCTTTAATCCCAGAACTTGGGAGGCAGAGGCAGGTGGGTTTCTGTGAGTTCGAGACCAGCCTGGGCTACAAGAGCTAGTTCTAGGACAGGTTCCAAAGCTACACAGGGAAACCCTGTCTTGAAAAACAAAAATAAATAAATAAATAAAGAGGAAAAAAAGAAAAAGAAAAAAGAAAGCTATGATGAAATGTGAATAAAATGCATAGAAATAGACATATCTCTGCATATCCTATAGAGGCTGCACATTTTGACTGGAAATCTCTATGAAGCTGGCTCGCTAGCTGTGCTCCTCATCTGAGCATTGCTTTGCTGTTCATTGTCTACCTCTCTGTCCTAGAGAATGGAAGGAAAACCTGGGTCCCCAGTTCTTGGCTTTCATGTTCTGTCTCAGATACAGAGCAGGGTGAGAGTGCCACAGTCAGGTCTGCACAGCTGCCAGACCCAGCACAGCCTGGTGTGTGTGGCCAGTGAGGTTTTATCAGCCTCTTTCCTAACAGACTCTTTTCCTTTCCAGGAGCCCTGAAGGCAGTGACTCGAGGCCAAAGCACACACACACTGTCTCTAGCCTCTTGGGTCACTCCCCACCTTTTAGCCTGAGTCTCCTTCCTCCCAAAGCTTTAGAGGAAGTTGTTACAATGACACCCCCCCACACACACACACATCTCACTCTACCTCACTCTCCTCTTCCTTTGGCTGTATCCTTAGAGCCTTCTCATTAACCCTCAAGAGGAGAATATTCTAGAACACCAGTTTCAGATCTGTTCTTTATCTGACATGTGTCCCAGGCTGTCCTTTTGCTTCCACAAGCACATGCACACATGCACATGTACACCACACACACACACACATGCACACTCACACACACACACTCACATATACCACACACACATTCACACACACATATCACACACACACACACACACACACAAACCACACACACACACACATATACCACACACATGCACATATACCACACACACACACACACTCACACACACACATATACCACAAATATGCCACACCCCCACATATCACACACACACACTCTCACACACATATACCACACATATGCACTCATACACACATCACCACACTCACTCACACACACACACATATACCACACACACCCATACATATACCATACACACACACATACACACTCACACACATATACCACACAATGCACTCACACACTCACATACACACACACACACACACCACACACACACTCACTTGCACACACATATACCACAAATATACCACACCCCCCACATAACACACACACACACACACACACACACACACACACACACCCTGCAGCCAGAGCATAGTAATTTAATAGAGATTTATGGTCTTACAAAGCCTATATAGTTTGTTCTCTGGATCTTTACAAGAAAAGTGTGCTGACCTGGCTCCAAGTCTTCATTACTCACCAGAGTTTCAGGCTTCTTGACTTGCTAACACTCTTTCTGGAGGTTCTCCAGACTGGCAGGGTTCTCCTGCATGTCCACAGCCAGCTCTGTGAGCATTATCTCCATAATAGTCTCCTCCATTGGTGTGACAGTCAGGGGCATAGGCAGGACATCTACCCACTCTGTGCTGACTGAGCCCAGTGAACAGGCTGGGAACTCACTCTTTCCATAGAACCTTCCTGAACCCACAAATGGCACCCACACTTCTGCAGTTGTTATGTCACAATTGCGGGGAGGGGGGAGGGGGGGTATACCTGTTCAAAGTCTCTCTGTAGCTTGAGCTATATCAGCTGCCACTCAAACTCTATGGACTGCAGGATAAAGGGAAGGGACAAACATGTCATCTAAGACATTGGGTGGGAAGAGGGACCAGGACAGTTTTTCTAAGGGTTGGTATGTGGGGGCAGCTGGAAGTTATGGCTCCATTTACATAGGGTGGCTAAGTATCACATGATTGCAAGCTACAAGGTGTGTGTGTGTGTGTGTGTGTGTGTGTGTGTGTGTGTGTGTTTTAGGGCCCTAGCTGTCCTCTAGACACCTGTCCAATCTACAAACACAGCCTACTCTGTCTCCCTGTCCTCACAGCACTGGAAAACAGGCCAAGTAAATGTGGGGCTTGTTTAGACACAAAGGGAAGGTGAGAATTGTGAAGCTGGGAAGGCTGCTTAAGTGAGAAGACAGTGGCTGAGTCAAGGCCTCCAGGAGGGCAGGAGGCAGGCCAGCAAGTGGAGACAGTCAGTGTGACAAATCTGAGGCAGACAGGCTGGAGCAGATGAGGACAGGATGGAAATAAATTGTTGGGACCCCTGTGGCATCAGAATAGTGTAATGCCTGTGTAAGATGTGGTCCTGAAGATAAAGCCAAGGTGCTAATGCAGAAAAGCATACTGGGATTCAGGGATTATCAAATACGTGGCAGGTCCCTGGGGAGGATCTGGGGCTTGCCAGGGCTGCTTCCGATGTTTTCCAAATGAATTAACTCCTGCAGGATGATCAGTGTTGGGGCCATGGGCATTTTGATCAATGGGACTGCCAGGGGATAAGGCCTACATCACAGGGGCAGGTTGCAATCCCGTCAGTGGTTAATGAAGCAGAAAACACCTAGCTGGGACCTGGATATTCTCTAGGTAGTTAACTCTTCCTGCCTTGCTTCAAACAATCCTGGCCAAATCAGGAAGTCTGGTAGCCCTGCTGTAGGCCAAGCAGGGGATCATGGTAAGACATTTGAGAAATGTCAAGTTTACACCAGGGTTGGGGGTCTGACAGAGTGAGTACCTCAGAAATCCAGTTCATTTTCTCCTTCCCCAAGTTATCCAAAGTCTTTGGCAAAATCCTCTGGAGGCTGTAGAAAGTCATCAGACATATCCACTATCACTGTAATGAAGTTCAGCTGATCAAAGATTGGACCAAGTGACTAGAAAAATCTTTGCTATTTAGTTGCATACAATATAGGGACCTTAAAGTGTTATGGGATATTGCACCAAAACAGGAAATGACCAGAAAATTTAAAGACCCAAACAAACAAGAACCAACTATTTTTCATTATAAAGTCTCATTTTTTTACCAAAAAAAAAAAAAAAAAAAAAAAAAAAAAGGGAAGCCAGGCCTTTAATCTCAGCACTTGGAAGGCAGAGGCAGGAGGATCTCAGAGTTCAAAGCCAGCCTAGTTTACAGAATGAGTTCCAGAACAGCCAGGACTGTTACACAGAGAAAGCCTGTCTCAAAAACAAAACACAAACAAAAATGAAACTGAGTAAAAAAAAAAATCTCATATAATGGTTGTTACTAGGCTTGGCGGTTAGCTCCTTTACTATTAAGATTATATGTTAATAGTAAGTTGTATCTTATTTTATACCTTGTCTTGGTTCATTCAGGTTGCTATAACAACAGACCATCAGATGGCTGCTTATGTACAACAGGAAGTTATTTCTTACAGTTTTGGAGGCTGGATGTCTAAGATGAAGGTGCTGCAGATCCCATGTCTGGTGCAAGTCCACTTCCTGTTCCACACGGTGGAAGGAGTCATGGCCTCTCTCAGAGATGGGCTCAGATAACATCAATCATCAGGGTCTACCCCCATGATGTAATCCTAATCATCTCCCTAATCCATACCTGCCAATATGGTTGCCTTGGGAGTGAGGAGGTTGGGAGGGGACAACCAACAGGACTGTGTGAGTCTTTCCATCAGGCTTCCGTTGCTCTCCCACTGTGGACATCATAGTGTACTCACACCTTCGCAAACGCCTTTTGTTTGCTTCTGTGGGTGTGTGGCGCTGGGAAGGGAACCTCAGGTCCTGTCCTGTGCGTGCTAGGCAAATGCCCTAACACTGAGCCACACCTCCAGCACTACTGGAAACCAGCTTCTCTGTAACACACAGTTTCTATGTCCAAACTTTCAAATGATTATCTTATGTTTGGATGGTTGCATTAGATCTAAAAACTTAAAAGAAACACCGATTAATTGGCACATGTGATACAGGCCATGATGAAGCCTGGGGACAGTCTCATTGAATAAATTAATTGACACTATGTGTATGTTTTTAGAATTAATTTTGTGTACGTGTGGGTGCTTGTGTGGAGGTCAGAGGACCACTTTTTGGAGACAGTTGTCTCCTTCCACCATGTGGGTTCCTGGGACTGGATCCGGGTCATCAGGTTTGGTGGCTAGCTCCTTTACTCACTGGACTATATAACTGTCCTGACACTAAGTAAAAATAAGATGAGAAATAATAATGTTTTCTTTTTGTTTGTATAATGAGCACAAAAAATAATTATTTTTATAACATAAAAACAATGTAAAGTAAAAACTTTCATGAAAATACACTGAGTCATCTGATGCTAAAAAGCATCTCTCCAAAAATGCCATCTGAGTCATTCTTGAGTTTGAAATTCAGAACCAGGAATTGTGGGGACACACCATCTGCTCGGAGAACATAGCAGAGCTGTGTGTGCAGGCTCTGTAAAGCAGAGGTGGCACGGCTCCTTTGACCTGGGTGGGGTGAGGGGAGAAAACATGGACCAAATGTCTCGGGGACCCTCTAGAATAAACTCACACAAACCTGAAGCAAGCTTTCCAGCCTCAACCAGCCTTGCCTTTGTAGCGGGATGCTTCTGGCCAGATTCCCATAGCCAACAGCACCAGGCAGGCTCCACAAGCTAGCTTTGCACTATAATGGTATTTTGATATGGATTTGTTCAGATTTCAGAGATGAAAATCCATAGTTACAGCCGTTCGGATCTGACGGCTATAGAGCAGGGTATCTGAGGGTGTGCACACAGCTCTGCTCTCCTTACCTGCCCTTCAGAGCCTGAGGTTACACAAACAGCTTGGTCAGTTACTGCTATGAATAGGAAGTCGATGCAGGCCCAGAGCGGTAGCCAACACTTGTGGGACCTATAGAGGGAGAATTCAAGGTCGGCCAGCCACAGTGGGGCCTGAAGCTCTAGTAAGGAAGGCTCCTGGGCAGTTGGAAATTTGTGCATGGAGACAAGGAGATAAGCTGCTGATATGGACATCTCAGCTAACTCTCTTGTGAGTTGGATTTATGTGAGTTGGTCTTTTGGGTTCCAGTTACCCCTTCAGAAAGTGACAACTGATTTTCTCAGCCTAACAGCTGAGAACAAGATGGGGACAACTCGCATCCTTCGGGATAGTGCCACACGATCTGTATGGTCCAGCAATCCTTTCCATACAGCAGTCCTGGTCAACTCTGCATGGTTATTCAAGCCCAGCAACAGTTCTCAAATGCTGTGGCTGGACAGTTTATCCATAGGTGTTTACTTGAAGAAGGTTCAGTGCTACAGTGTGTGATGTCTGTTCTTGGTTGTCAGCTTGACAACATCTGTAGTTAACTAAAACTCAAATGGCTGTGCACACCTGAGAGAAGTTTATTATAATTATTATCATTATTATTATGTACCAATGGCACACACACAACACACACATACACACAATACACACACATAACACACAATACACACACACACAACAAACAATATACACACAGCTAGAAAGAACAACCTTACCCTTACAGAGAAATTTCAAAAACTCAAATGGCTGGGCACACCTGAGAGAGGTTTATTATAATTATTATCATCATTATTATTATTAAATCATTTGAAGTGGGAATACCCTCTTCTACTCTCTGTCTGTGAGGTGGGAAGATCCACCTTTAATATGGGCCTCACTTTCTGGTGGCAGCCTCTATAAGGGACATGGAAAGATGAAGCTTGCTCTCTTTGTCTGCTTGTTCTTGTCCTTGATAGCAAGTCCATTCCTTCACTGGCATTACAGCCTACTTCTTCGGGATTCCAGCGTACACTGAAGACCAGCTGAGCCATTCAGACTAAACAACTACTGAATGCTTTGGTTTGTAGAACCATTGTTGTACTAGCTGATTATAGCCTATAAGTCATTCTAAAAATCCCCCTTTACTTGTGTGTATGTTCTATAAGTTCTGTTCCTCTAGAGAACCCTGACTAATAAATGCTGAGATAATATTACCTTTAAAATACAAATCATTCATATATCCATGCTGTCTGAAATATATGGGTTATGGGGGGTGGGGAAAAGGGTAGTTGATTTCCCCCATATTTTGCATGTGTATTCACTATTTGTACTCAATTAGTTCCATTCTTAATCTGAATTCCTTAGCCCACACCCTGAATACCACTGGCACACACACAACACATACATACACACACAATACACACACACAACACACAATACACACACAACACACAATACACACATACACAACAAACAATACACACACAGCTAGAAAGAACAACTTACCCTTACAGAGAAATTTCTAGAAGTATGAAGAATGCAGTCCGACACATTTGAATCCAAACATACCCCCATCTGCCACTCACATGAAGTCATGAATCTATGATGGTAATGTGTGCACACACCTGGTGTTTGTAATTACTGTAATTCACTCTGTGGTTTTGTTTATTCTGTGGCCTCTGTTGACTTGTTCATGTATTAATACTAGTGGTCAGCTGTGGATGGCTTGATGGGAATTTGTTCAATGAATCATGACGACAGTCTAAAGAGGGAGATGCTGCTTTTGTCTCCAGAGCTCACATGTGTGTGGGTGGTGGAGCAGGGTTCCTGCTCTGGTACTCAGAGCTTACACATGCACATGCTGTCTTTGTGGCCTTGTCTCTGTGGATGCCCTGGTGGGCTATGGGCCTCACCTTTGCATTTGCTTCCTGGGTGGGCTATGGGTCTTACCTTTGCATTTGCTCCGAGCATCTCTCAGGCTCCAATGGGATCCCCAGCATGCTGCTGGCCTGGAAGATATACAAGATTATCCAGAGACGTCTCTTCAGGTTGTTCCCAAAAGACACATTGAAACAAGCCAGGCACTGTAAAGTTCCCGAGAAGATGAAGCATCCACACTTTTAGCTCTGACACTGTCTTCACTGTCAACTGGATTGGGTTTGGAATCACATAGGAGGCATACCTTAGAGTGTGTCTGTGAGGGTGTTTCCAGAGACGTGTACCTAGGGAAAAGAACCCACCCTGAATGTGGGAACACCCTCCCATGAACTGGAGTTCCAGACTAGACATAAAGGAGGAGCCAGCTGAGCATCAACATTCCCTACTGTCTGCCCCCAACTGCTTAGATGTGAGGGGACCTAGCTCAGTGTTGGCTACTTTCTTATTGTTGTGACAAAATACCCGGCAAAAGCAACTTAAAGAAGAAAGAAGGGGACACTTGTCCTGGCTCACAGTTTGAGTATGCATCCATTGTGGTGGAAAAGGCTTGGGCATGGGGAGTCTGAGGTATCTGGTCCCATTGCACCTGAAGTCAGGGGGCAGAGAGAGACAAATGCTCATGTATTCTGCCCACTTTCTCCAGCCTCAGAACATCCCATCCACAGCTGGGTGTGTCTTCTCATTTAAGTACCCAATCCAACCCCTCCCCCTCTACAGGTGATTCTAAGTGATTCTAAGTCCCTTGTAGTTGATGGTCAACACTGGCCATACATTCCTTGAACTGTGAGCCAAAATAAATGCTTCCTTCCTTAAGTTGTTCTTGCCAAGTATTTCATCATAGCAATGAGGAAGGCACCCAGTAAACACACAGACTGTAGAATGAAACCACCACCACACAGTTTTGACATTTTTTGTTTTGATGTGTGTGATGCATGGATGAACACGCATGGGGCGGGGGCAGAGGTCAATGCTAGGTTTTCTATATCTTTTTTTGAGACAAGGTCTGAAGCTCCCCAATCCTTGGAGACTGGCCAGTGAGTCCCTGGGATCCTCCTATCGCTGCCTCTCAGTTTGAGCATTACAGGTGTGTGCTGCTGCACCTGGCTTTTTTTATGTGGTGTCTAGAGGATTGAACTCAGGTCCTCACACTCTTGTAGCCACCACTTTACTACACTGGGTCACTTCCATGGACCCACGCTTCTTCCTGTCTCTCTTCAAAACATTTACTTATTTGTTTATTTATGTGTGTGTGTGTGTGTGTGTGTGTGTGTGTGAGAGAGAGA